TTAAATACAAAAGACAAGTATAGGTATGTAAGTAGATACTTGGATAGTGAAGTAAATTTCAACTAAATTTTGTAATAAAGTTCGTAGGTATTAGATAAATTATTACTTAATTCTTTTTGCTATAAATACCTATCTAACAATAAAAATTAAATAAATTCTTATTTTTTTTAAATGATTGGGCAAACGAGCATGCGGGTCACCTAATGGCCACTATCCATCGGCGCTCATAAACAACTGCAATGCCTGGGGAATTGTAGGTCGTAGCCGGAATTGTTATAGCATGGTCATAATCTTCAGCTTTATCTTCAGCTTTAAAATAAGTATTTAATGCACAAGCATGTGGTGACTGCGTAGTGGCGCTGTAAGAACGTCCACTACCCCATATCTTCCCGTGGGTGTCGTAAGAGGCGACAGAGGGAGACAGGCAGGCAGATGGGCAGCAGCATCTTCCTAATAACAACTAAAAGTAAAAAAATGCGGTTGCCAATTTGCTTGCCAAGCATGGCACCTATGACAAATAACCCCCCTTATGAGGCAATATATGGAGGCGGTCTTTTAATTAATATGCTGTAAGGGTACAAGCGTAGTGTAAGTATAGAATTTTCTTCTTCTTCAAGAGACCGTCGAATTCGGCTATTGTACACAAATATTCTGGTTGTAGACAGGCTTTGCCTTATTTACCAATTCGCATTCAGCGTTCGCAGTACCAGAGGTTCGTATCTCTGACACGGCTTCCCATCACAGCTTTTTTGTCTCGCGTAACCTAGTTATTTATTCTACCACCAAAGTGAGACCTATCTGGAATTTTCTGGGGTCGCTAGGATCCTTTTTCCGCTATAACACGTCTAGTTTATAGAATAAACTCTATAGAACTCTAATAACAAATCTCAACTAAAGCTAAAATGCATACAATTTCCCTACTAAATATTTTACACAAGTAATATTTATTTTTTGTATTTTTTATTCTTATTTTGCTGCACATCTTCTCGTCAGGTATACCTCAAATTCTGAAAACTAGATTGTACAACCAGTGCGTGTTGCCAGTGATGACCTACGGAGCTGAGACGTGGTCCTTCACTGCTGGCCGTATGAGGACGCTCAAGATCGCTCAGCGAGCTATAGAGAGGGCTATGCTCGGGGTTTCTCTGTGTGATAAACTAAGAAATGAGGATATCCGCAGTAGAACCAGAGTGACCGACATAACTCAACGGATTAGTAAGTTGAAGTGGCAATGGGCCGGTCATATAGCTCGAAGAACAGACAACCGCTGGGGAAAAAAGGTTCTCGACTGGCACCCTAGTACCGGTAGGCGTAGTGTAAGGCAACCCTCTGCCAGATGGTGTGACAACCTGGTAAGACATGCAGGAAGTCGATGGATGCAGGTGGCTCAGGACCGCGCTTTGTTGCATTTCTTGGGGGAGGCCTATGTTCAGCAGTGGACTTGTGAAGGGCTGTAATGATGATGAATGATGATGATGAATTTTACTGCATCATGTTCAAATTGGAAATACCAATTTTTTCAATCTTGTGGCGACCATAAGAGGCTGACAAAGGGTAAATACAACAAGAGATGGGTGATCGTATTTTTCTGATAACAGTTGAAAATAATAAAAAATCTGCAGAGCCAACCCGCTTGCCAAGCGCGGCAAACATGGCAAAATACCCACATATAATACAACCTATGGCGGAGGGATAGGAGTTTAGTAGTGAACTTTAGATAAGATGCCATGATGATTTTTTTTCATAAAAATGATGAAATAAACTCACCTGCAACGGTTAACTCCATCAGTGAGGTATGTGATGTCATTATTCCTATTGATTGCTGCGATATGCTGGTTAAATCTGAATATTTATAAAAAGGGAAAATTAGTTTAAGAAGAATTTACTTCTTCTTTTTCTCCTTAAGCCTGTAAAAGCCTACTGATGGAGTTGAGCCTCTCCCTCTATTCGCTATTGCTATAATCACTATGGTTGAGAAGTGGTTTGGCGATCGCTGTACCTGACATTTCACACCCATGAAGCTGTGTTCCTGTAGCAGATCTATGTATTTTAAATTTACTGTTCATGGAAAACAAACTAGGATCAGAATGGAGGTAAGAAAATCAGGAGATGGGCACCAGTGTCATCCTAATAAACAACTAAAAACGAAAAACTACGGTTTGCAGCTTGTCCCCTATAAGGCATTCTACGGGAGGCCTATGCTCAGCAGTGGACGCGTATGCGTAACAGTAACGGTATATGGAAACGTTATACCGCTATCTGTCGGGAGCTATAAATTCATTTTAGAATATGAAATTTTGTGTAGTGCTTGGCCAGCGATGTAATTTTACGGGGTAAGAAATTAATTTAGTTTTGAATTTTGTTGGAGAAACTTACATATTTTTTCCAACAAATTACTGTTTTAGATTTAAATAAATATACACTAACTAAGCTGCGATTTATTTGAAATAATTAATAAAAATAGCACTTATGTTAAAACTATTGTCAAAATTTTGCTGTTACTGCTTACTGTTGGTAATTTAGAACATATACACCTAACGTTTAGGCTCTAAGGTTGCTAACTATTAACTGCGCGGGAAATATTTGTGAAAAAAGTGAACACACTTACTATGCACACAATATAAATAAATTAATAATGTAGGCAGTCACTACCTGCAATTTTTATAAAAGTAATAACGACAAGCGAGCTTACACTCCACCTGGGGGAGTGTGTGGCATAAGGGTCAGTTCACACCGAGATGTGATGCGACACGACGCATCACGTATTTTTTTAACATTGTAATAAAAATATAACTTTATTTACTACACAAAAACATACACATTTTATTGAGATAATATAAAATGTCTCCACGGCGTCGCGTGACGCCTCGAAATGCATCGCGGCATAGCATGGCGTAGTGTGGCACATCGTGACGCAGCGCATCGGTGCTTCGTCGGTAGGTGCAGCGTGCAAGGGCAGTGCACTGCCAATGACTTCACAATGTAGCTCGCGACGTCGTTATGCGTATCGATGCAGCGCGTTGTACCGTGCGAAACCGCTACCTCTTCAAACATCGACGCGTTGCGTCGCGTCTCCATGTGAACTGACCCTTATGCTGCTATCACAAGCTTTTATTCTGCACGATTGTGATGTTTATACGGTTGAGCAGATCCATTCGTGTTGCGGGATTGATCCCACCTAATGTAACGCTTATGATATGAGATCAGGGTCACAATGCATTGTCCAAGACACGGGGACAATCAACACAAACACAAACAAAACAAATGTTTGTTATGACGAGTCTAACTTAGAACCCCCAACATCACAGCCAGGTAATCGAAGAGTTATAATAGGCAGGCATGATATTTAAGAAATTTATAATTTATTTGTCGTAAAGTTAAAATTGTTAACTGTTGTATTTTAGGGGATAATAATAGCGAGCAAACTAGGCCGAATTTCGCCGGCTTATTACATTTGTGAAATAGTAAGTATGCTTTAGTATAAGTTAACACGTTGAACGTGGTTGAAGAGCATCATTAGTTTAATTTTGTAACCTACAAACTTACTACAAACTTGCCTGTGTTAATTCCACGCGGCTTGAAGAAGTTGACGTCATAACTAGATGAAGTACTATCACAGTAAATTTCCAGGGATGGATTATAATTAACATATGTTTCTGAAAAAAAAACAACACACAAACGTTTACTTTACCTGAGCATACTCTAAATATCTTATTATTAAAGTTTTAAGCACAAATGGTTTTCGAACAAAGCCTTATTCAATTTTTTTTTTACTTGTTTTTTAAAATGAAAAATGCGCAAAAGTAAATAAATTTATAGTTTTTAATCATGCAAAACCTGGAGTTTTACATTATTAAATATCTTTAAAAAAAATATATATTTAAGTTATGTTATTTCTTTTTCGAAACTAATTATTCATTTTGTATTTTTGGGTGTTGCTTTTTTGCAACATAGCTAAATTTATAACATGGATTCTAATAAAATTCGTGTTATTTTTGAATACGACACGCAATATCAATGTAATGTACAAACCTAAGACAACTAAAATACAAACTGTGCGTTAATAGTTTCATCGATTTCACTTCCCCGTATCACGGAGAGGAAAGTTTGACAAATTGTAGCGGATTAGTTTCAAAATACGGCTGAGATAGTGTTGAATTTTGATATGTCAAAATAATATTACAATGGTAAAAAAGCTAAATTTGAAATACTCCGGTATATGACTACTTACCATCAGGTGGATTGTGTGCTCGTTTGTCACCCAATCCTATAAAAAAATGAATTTGGAGGAGGCGAGAGACGCGTGTCAGGATCGTGCCAATTGGAAGTCTGTAGTCTCTGCCTAGCCCTCTGGGTGGCAGACGTGAATATTTCTGTTTTATATTTATGATCCCCATCCACCATATTATCCAAATCTTGTTTTAACACACTTTCAGTTTTTCGAAGTTTAGATAACATTTCGATGGGCAAACATTTCAATTCTGAAGAAGCAATATACGATTTAAAGCAAGGGTCGATCCCCACCGGCATTCAGTACAATGTGACAAATACACATTTTCTGTGAGACATTCCATCTTAGTTCTTAAAGTTGACAACGAGTTTGTAGCCTTCTATGTAAGAAGTTGGTTGTAGGTATCAATGGACTAGTATAAGTAGCCCTTTACTATCAGGTGGATTGTTACTTTGTCTTTTTTTATAGACTAAGGGTGAGAACATCCCAAATGGATCTGTGCCTATAGATATCTAATATCCTTAAAATCAAAATACTTCACCCCTGAGGACTAAGATGGAATGCCTGGTTTCCAGTAAGAGATCTCCGGATCTCTACACTCATCATAGGAATTAAGCTGCTATTAAACATATAAAACGTATTAAGCTGCTATTTTACGGTAGTATTCTGTGAGACCGTGGTCCTTCCCCGGTCGAGCCAACCCATTCGTGCTAAAACCATAATATAGCTGCAGCGTAGCTCTTCTCTACGTAGTTCGTCGAATACATACCTATTTCAGCGCTAGCCACCTCTTCGGTTTGATTGTAACCCTCTTGAGCATTTGAGGTTGTAGTTAGCGGTATATTCGAAGACGTTGACAAAAGCGAAGAATCCTTTTTACTAATTAGAGTAAGAGATGCTTCTGTACCTGAAGGGAAATATAAATTTGAATTTATGAATTAATTCTTATATCCAAAGTACGACCTCGCTTAGAATTTATTATAGCGTTAATTTTGTAAGGTACTATTTTTATAACTGCATAATATATCTCATAGTAATTTCCTCCAGGCCGAATTTCGGTCACGGCGGCCTGCCTCAACGGAGGCTAGCCATCGGCGCAGGACAGGATTATAGTGCCCAAGTGTATGCGCAAGCACAGGTGCACTTTCTATTCCCTCACTCTCTTATTCCGATGGGACGATGAAACGACACGACCGGGGAGAAATCAGGCACAGGACCAACGGCTTCTTCCTGACTCCGGACAGCTACTGAGAATTTCATAGTATTGTAGGTAGTAAATAGAAACTGTGGGGGAACAATTTTAGTCATCTGACGTAACAGCGCATCTGTATATCATGTGTGTGTATCTGTAGACTTCTTGTTTGATGTTAGATGCAGGTATTCATGTACAGAGGTAGGTACTTACACTTCAGTTTTATGAAAAAAGGTTTTAAGCGTAAACATAATTACTCAACTACATTCGTTTCACTACTGCTTGGAACTGGTCACGTAGTTATTAAAGAGTCCATTGCGTGTAAACTTAATTCACATGTTCTCAAAATAGTTTTGGTTTCTCGATAAAAAGGTACCCTCCAATTTTTTTCAAACGAATAAAAATTTGCATAAAATCATCTCTCAAATTGTAGTTAACAGTTCAAATAAAACTAATTTGTATGGATTTTATCGCATATATTAACTTTTTTATATCCCCGACGTTTAGAGCACTTTACGGCACCCATGGTCACGGGGGGCTGAGGTGTTCAACGTTCAACGTGGTTCCGCACGTGTACTGCACAACTATTTTTAATACAGTTGCGAAAAAATGAAGCAATTTAATAAAATAATAAAAACACAATAAACTCAACTAAATAATCATTATGTATCGACTTTTTGACTTTTCCGGTAAAATGTTCTCCGAACCATTTTGTGCAATTATACTGAGTCCCGGTGGTGTTAATTCAAATAAAATATCGTCGAAATTACTCATTTTGTGCAACAAACAACTAATCTCGCAAAGAACATTTTCGGAAAATGGCGCCAACCGTAAGATAATCTAAGCTGAGATTTTTTTTGTTTTCTTTATCCATTATAGGTAGGCAAAGGGAACTATGCCCATACAGCCAAGCCTTCAGTAGAAGTTTTTTATTGATATGAAATGAAAATGAAATTTAACGAGATTAAATAAAATGAAACCTAACCTAACTCATTGAATCAAATCATTAAATCCGATATTGAAACAAATTAGTAGCTTCTTTTTAGAAATATTTGCATGAATCATAAAAACTTCTATGAATTTTATTAGTAAAAATTTCGTGGTTGGTTTCTTCTCTTTAACAGACATTATTTTGACAGTTGTGAATGCACGAGTTCGGAAAAGGTAAAGAAAAAGCTCGAGTATGTAATAGCCCACATCCCGAACGCTATATACGCTACTTTTTGAGCAAAAGTATTAAAAAAGTTCATTACATACTATTTAGTATGTTTGTAACAAATGTAATAGCAAGAATTAAAACTCAAATATTTATTGATTTGTTGTCGATGAGCATGCTGGTCATTGTTGATTTGTCTGTATAGTAAGTGAAAGAAAACAAAATTAAAATTTCCCTTCTTCGCATAAATGTCTCCGTGAATCCAGTGTACAAAATAACGATCGACATCATTGGTTCAGTGTATTTATACTTTCAAACTATACATTTCACCGGTTAGCATTCAAAATAATCGTTTAGTTTGGTAATATGTGTATTAATCCCCACGCAAAACGGCAGAATTTAGTCTTGTGTGGGAGGGGAGCATTGACCCTCAGTATGTATAATGTGTACGTATGCTTAGAGAATTTCAGAATTGATGTCGTTTTTTAACAATTTAAAATATTATTCTATTGAAATACTTCTATGTGAAAGTTATTGTATAGTCGAAAAGTGTTAAAGTTTTTATTAGAAATTACTTTTAACTGTTTATCTACCTAACAGTTTTATATATTCCATTACGTCTGTAACATTATAATAATTATTTGTAGTGGCAACACTGAAATATAACTATGAGTCTAAATGACAGTTGACAGTAAGTGTAGATCGAGTTAAAAGTAGGGTCAGGGAGGGTAATTGTAAACAATATAAAAAAAAAACTTCTATCTATTTCCCATCAAAACAAAAGAAATAACTTATGTGACTTTGAAAATGTACCTTAAAGTAGTAGAATATATTGCAAACGATATACAATACTATTAGTTATACAAGATAGTACTCGTATATACATTTTTGAATATGACTGTTTAAAATTGCCCCATTAACTTTCAATCTTTTGTTAAAAAGTGGGGTACATGTAAAAATCATGAAAATTATGTTATTTGTATAAATATTTCAATTTTATTTATCGTGTGCTTATTTATCACTATTATTATATGTTGCATTCAGATGGAAGTGTTAATCGTAATAGGAGGTCAATGTCAACAAATGAAAACTTGCCATAGTTACAATATGAACTGGGGTAATTGATACAATTATGTAATTTCAGAATAACTGTAAACAAATGAACAAATTTCATGAAAATGTCAGGGGGAAACGGTAAACAAAAATATCCCATTTATTAATAATTAAGATAATTATTAATTATTAATAATTATCTTATATTTTAATATTTTTTGAACGAATCTCAATTTTTTTAATTAATTTTGGTTCAAGCACTTTTTTATTCTTTTACGACTGCCCTATTATTTTTCTTGCATCTTCTAGCAGGTTTTAGATTTAGATTTATTTGCTTCTTTTAACCGCCGAAGTTTTTCATTGCTAGTCTAAATATATAGCTTTTTACATTTCTCGAGTTTAATTTCATTTCTTTTTGGACTCGTAAGTATACCAAACATGTTTTTCTAAAGTTTCTTTTATTTTTAGATTTCATTTTATTTTTCGTCATACTAGTCATAATACTGCCAGATGAAATAGCAGTTACAGCGTTTAATATATTTGTCTTTACGTGAAAATTTTCATAGCAGTGCTTTTGATACACCAACATCTATTCTATCTAAGCTCGACTGTCATCCTTTAAATCTGTGTAATATGGCTGCAGAGGGAATCACTTAGTATTTGCTAGCCTCCCGGTATATTTGCCTTACTGTTTTTGTTTTACATCTTCGACAGACCATTGAATATCTGTTAAAGACTATGATGAACTATCTTTATTTTTCTTATAATTTCTAGGCATAATGTGCATCATCTTTCCAGTTATCTATCATCAATAATACACAATTTATTTTCAATTAACCCGATATTTCCCATGATGACGTCCCCAATGGTCACTGGGGTAAAAGTAAACATCATTCTCAAAAATATAAACATCCAAACATCAACTCATTACATCATTCCTATAAAACAATCACAAACTGTAAAAAAACAAAATCTTTAAACTTCCAAAAATATAAAAAGATGCGGTTCCACGATATCAAGTATTTTATTAAGGTGATAGCTGTTATCAAAATAGTGGACTTGTTGTCCATAGACGAAATTCACGTTTAGTTCTTTGCAAAACTCCAAAACATGGTAATGAAAGAATTTTTGAAGCTTGTTTTCAATCACCCCGTTTACAATTACCATGCCTGACCCTAAAACAATAATTTTATAGGCATCATAACAATGCGTGCAAGTTGGAATAATAAATTGACATTTGCTCAGGTGTGATCGATGTTGCATTGACATCGGGTGATGACATCGATGTTGATGTGAATAGCTCAGAAATGATGCCCGATTTTGTCAAACACAAAACTTCTATATTGGATTTTTTTTTTGTATACATCATTCTAAACTCATAAAACACCGTAAATTACAAATTATTATAATATCAGTAATTTTCTGTAAGTCGCGACTTAAAATTAAATGCTTGTAGCATCGATGTTGAAATATCGATATTTTAACTCGTAATATCGACAATACATCGATGATCAGTTAATATTTGTTTCGTGTGCTTGTACAGAATGTACAAAAATCAATCGAGCATTAATAAGTTCTTTATTTCTTCCACATTTTTTTTTCAACATTTTTCCTCACATGACACTATTATAAATCATTCATCTACTATAATATTACAAACATATTATTTTTAATACACTCGAATGTAATAGGCCTAAGCCCAATGGACCCAATAGAGATTTACCGTCTGGGTTCTGTTCTAGGAATTTTAGATAGGTAATATTTTTTTTCATTGTAGGCAGTATACATTTTATAGCTTTTCTCAATTGATTTTACTCAGAGCACAGAAAATAAATGCGGTGATATATACTAGCACCGAGGACATACATATACATTTCATCGGCGTTCCATACGCATTACATTTACTCGTAAATCCTTCCGATGTTATAAAATCATGCTTATATCCACATTTACATAACCTTTGATGTTAACTTCATAGATTACAAAGTATAATAACTCTATAGGTTATACAGTATAAATATGAAAGTTAACCTTTTCATGTTCGACATAAGAATATTTATGATCCATATTTAATTTCGGGTCTACTGAATTTTAATTATAGATTTCACAATCTGATTACACATATTTATTGAAGCTTAAAACATTTTAATTTTTTTAACTTTTAAGGAGTTGTTTCGTGGTCTGGATAATATTCAACACGTATAATATTTAGCTTATAAAGATATTATGCATCAGTTTTTGTTTAAAAGATTTGAATGATCGTTGTAACAATTTTAAATAAACGTATATCAAGTGTATGGATTTATTGTAACTATCCGAGCATGTTTGACCCTGCCACTGGAGCTTTCAGTGCCAGGACCTTAACGGTAAGGTAATTGCGTATTGTATTACCGTAAGGGTCGACCCACACGTACAACCACACCACAACCACAACTAAAATACGTGGGCGGGCGCATTTTGTATTGGAAATTAATATTACATTTTGCCGTCATTATCGACTGCGTCAGTGATATCGACCACAGCACAACCACGACGTAACCACTACGATACCACACGGAACTAGCGGACGGCTATGCAAACGCAACATTGCGTCGACACCACAATTAGGGTTGGAATCACAGAAATCGTAATAATAAAACAATAGAAGTAGTACTCGCATAGACCTTGTCGCCGCTAGGATGTGTGAACGAACATTATTCACCATTTTGTGATTAAGTTGCGCGGGGAACGTCGTACGTAAATTTATGTTATTATAATGGTCATCAAGGACGTGTAATTCAACTATTAAAGGCATAACATTTCATCGGTAAGTTGATTATTTACTAATTATCAATGTTTTAACCAATTTAAATCTAGATTTACTATGATATTTACCTTTGTAAACTTTCATTTATTACTTTTCATATTGACTATTACCATTGCTGCTTTTGTTCTACCGTAATACGCGACGACGCGACGTTGACAAACTCGCCAAGCAATGTAATGTGAAACATTAGATATTATTGTGCATTGCGTATATTTATAATATTGCTGCACGCATCGGTCGCTTTTGGAAGTAATTGAGCACTAATTAATTTCCATTGTCTTATTATTACTATTTCTGTGGTTGCAACGCAACCACAACGCAACTGCAAAAAGCTGCAGCGACACTATTCACACGTGACCACATCTTGTCGCTGCGATGTGGTGAGATTGTTATTGTTGTTACGGTACCGTTGCGCATTGGTTCAGCAATGAGTTAAAGCGTAAAGGGCCGCGGGTTCTAAATCCACACAGAACAAGTATTTGTATGGCCCACAAGTAATTGTTATGGGTCTGGATGTTTGTTCTTGTGAAATTTATGTCTGTAAAGCCCCCAAGATGCAGGAGAAAATCATGGTATGGAGGTAACGTTTTTTAAATAAAAAAAGAAAATGAGGCCTTCCCCATAGGTAGCTTCATAGGCGATATATTTGAAACGTATTATAGCTATTAGTGAAAATTATTAAAACGTATTATAGCTATCAGTAAAATTAAATGTTCATATTACCTGTAGCATTGTCAGCCGTTAGGGATCTTAATATTGAGTCTGTGGCTGTTAAATTGGTTGATTTCTCATTACCTGAAAATGTTTTATGAATCCTTAAAATTCTGACAATCAATGTTGAATTATTGAAAATCTTTAATTTATTAACTTGTAAAATTCTACCCAACAGTTTATTTTATGTATAATTTGTCTTGTTATTTAACCCCGATTGAAATGATTTGTGAATTATGATGAATGAATTTAAATATTTTGAGAGATAAGATTACATTTTCCAAGCAAAAACATTAGTGAAAAGCTAATTATGCTCTGCTTAATTCTTTTAAATAAAATGGGTAACGATTGAGCACATAGTCTACCTGATGGTAAGTGGATGCTGTTACTTAAAGCTACATCTAGCTTCTATTAATATTTAATTTTTGTCGATTTGTTGTCACCACTGAGCATTAAAATGAAATGTCTCATTTCCAGAAGGTTCTGCTGTTCTCTACACTCACCATACGAAACACAATTTAGGTAACGCTGGTATTCTGTGACAGCGTGGTTCTAACCCAGTCAAACCGACCCATTTAATCTGCAGCTTGGCTCTGACACGTGGAAAAAATATTAATTACATAACTTACATCGTCTGTTGTTGACATTACTATTTTTTTCACCTATATAGACTACTCGTTTGCCGGTTTTACTGCTTGCTGAAAAACAAAAGTTTATTAATTTATTAGTGAGAAGAAGCGACAACAGCCCCACAGAAAGTGGAACTGGTTGATATCCAACGGTTCGACTAAAATGAGATTGACTTCATTTGATCTCAAGTTGCTTTCAAGTTGATTTCAAGTGATCGCAAGGGTGAAAACTGGCAGCGATCACCGAATGGTGAGAGGCACACTGAACCTAAACGTGAAGTTGGAGAGGTCACGTCTAATGAAGTCAACACTCTGCCCCCTCGTGCTCTAATCCATAGCCCCGAAAACTTTCGACTCGTTACAAAATCGTTTTCAGTGCCTAGTAAACTGCAATGAAGTGGTTGGAGCTAAGTTCTGTAAGACCTGTTCTGTGACTATGGAAGAATATAGGCTGTAAATTTAACTTTATTCATTTATTAATTACAATCTATCAAAGTCCACTGCTGAACGTACACCTCTCCGCAGATTGCCTCGTAAAAATATATTCTTTCTACGGATATTTGCCATAGTTGTCGCTTGGCATACGAGTTAACAAGCGTAGTTTCCTATTTTCTAGTTGAAGAAAATAAAAAACTGCGTAAGAACGGCAGTTTACTATTTTCTAATAATAGAAAGATGCAGCTGCTTATGTTATTATGTGGTTTAATTCTCGCTGCCGTCTTTTACAACACTTATGGTAAAATTTATGAAGTATATGTGACCGCCACTACACGGTCACAAATTTTTCAGTTAGATAGTCAAGAATATAAATAAGTTGTTGATTGCCTTACCTTTTTCTTTGGTCGATTTGTTTTTCATCACACTTGTAGATATGTTGCTATTGAAAATTTTTAATCCATTTGAATTAACTAGAGGTACGATGGGTTTGCCGCTATATTTTTTGTTAGCTAGTGTTTTATGTCCTGTACATAATATAAAAATAAGGATTGTTCTTGAAATAAGATAACTTATCATTTTTGAATAACTTCGGCTCAAAAGACGAAAACACCTATTTAGGAAAAATATATATTCATAACATGTTGAGGGAATGCTTCACAAGGCGATATTCGCGCTGTGACACTGGAAGATGCAGTCAAAACGTATTGTGACAAGTTTATAAAGAATTGCTTCATTGGCTTTCACGATATTTTACTACCATGAGTTGGGATTTTTAAGAAAACTACAAAGTTAGCTGAGATAAAAAGGAAAAAGTTTGGCTTAATTTAAATATATGGGTACCAAGCCTCGATGTTTTTTAATATTAGAATAAGTATTGATTCTAAAAAGAAAATATTTTACTATGAGTTGTGGTCGTTCCGGTCAGGCCACGTCCACATTTATCGTGCCAAAATACGCACCTACATTTATCCACGTCGTATCATATCAGCAAATCAGCATAAAGTTCTTTATACTTAGACGCTACAAATTTTTGCTCCAATTGAGCTCCGAAGCTGATGATCGGAGAAAAACCGACTAGAGATGAGACGTGCGTATTAAATATTATATTGCATAGTCTTATCATAATAGAGTATCAAAATAAGTTCATACTATCAATCATGATACGTGTATCAGATACAAGGTTTTCTGTGAAACGAAACTAATAAGTTACGGTAATACAACCGCGTGCGATCGTGATACATGTCTGGGTCACACTAAGGAAATACGATAAATCAAGGTGATCAAAATATGTGGAACTGGCCTAATATATTAGTGCTTCTTGTGTTGGAGTATTAAAAACTGTCGTAGAAGTCTTGCGTCCCCGGCATAGCGCTTGCTTTAATTTCAAAGCATGCGACCAGCTTCAATAGCATTTTTTAGAGCCTGAGATGTACTAGCAGCTTGGCAGTGAAAAAAGAAAATAGAGAGTTAACAAGTATGAATTTTAAAATTAAAAAATAAAACCACCTTCAAATGTCCCATAGCTGGACAAAGGCCTCCTTTTCATTCCTACTAGGGTTTAAAGGTAATGAAATGTCCACCGCGCTGCTTCAATGCACGTGTACATACCAAAAGTTTCCTTGAAATGTTTTATTTTTAGTTGCTGACGTGCAGTTTTCCCACCATGTTTTCCTTCACCGCCGAGCACGTAATAGATTACGCATAAAGTTGCAGTCATTAGACTAAACGAGAGCAGTATTAAAAATATGAGAACGCATTCTATACAACTTGTCAAGAACATTTTTTTATTATGTAGTCATCATCATCATCATCATTACAGCCCTTCACAAGTCCACTGCTGAACATAGGCCTCCCCCAAGGTATGCCACAAAGCACGGTCCTGAGCCACCTGCATCCATCGACTTCGTGCATGTCTTACCAGGTCGTCACTCCATCTAGTGGGGGGGTTGCCCTACACTTCGCCTACCGCCTATTGTTTACTACAAGGTTTAAATTCATAGTATTGAAATCCAGATAGCTCGTCACTTTTATTGCTGAGTTATGCAATCATGTAGCAATGTTATGAATATAATCTAAAAATATATAACACTCACTCATATTCTCCGCGAAAAGAAACATAGAAGGTCCGACGTTAGCTTGCTTGGTATGTAACTTGTTCCCTTTATATAAGGTCCCTACAAAACAGTTTATATTTATATATACATAAATAAAGCGTTGATAATCTAATGTACATTGATGAGTACAAAAGTAAACGCTCGCACTAGAGCCGAGTTTACCACCACCATAGTCTATCGAAACTCACTGCTAAACGTAGGCCTTCCCAACAAATTGCCTCGTAGGGGAGATATTTGCCATAGTTACCACGCTTGGCAGGCGTGATGCCAAACGCAGTATTTTGCGTTTGGCATCACACGATATGGTTTATTGGATATTTCTAAACCGTCAATTTTCCCCTATATTTGCGTATTGTGTCCAAACGCATGCACACGACACGCAAATATAGGGGTTAGGAATTCTGACGTTGACTTGACGTTGACTTTGTCCTATTTCGAGCAGTCATGATCTGAGACATTTCAGCTTTGGTCAGATACATATTATTAGGTTCCCGACACTCGCAAATCAAGGAGAAAGTGTCTCGATTTTCAAATTAAACTAAATTAAACATCTAAAAAAATCTCTTTATAGCCTTCTTAAGCTCAAAGCAATAATTAGAGATATTATTTAATTTTATGCTTTTTGGTTAATACTGACAAGATTCCACAAGCATTTCTCAGAAATTTGTAACTGATAATGAGGGCAAAAAGAGACTAAATTTGTAAAAAAGCAACAAAAATGTGAAAAATTAGCCGGTGGCCCAGTTTCCTTACACGCCAGTGCACTTGCGTAAGTGTGAAACGTGCGTTTTGGAACTACTCTATATTTTTGTCTCTTTATAGAACAAACACAACTATTCAAAGTTACGGTAAAACCAAAACCTAAAACAAGAATAAGTGTGTAAAACGTATGAAATAAAAAACAAATTTTCATTTGTAGCGTATATTCAAATACTATTATATCAATATATTCTGCACGTAAATATATTCACTGTATTACATATAATATTAAACGAATATACGCAAGTAGTTAAGACTCAACCAGCGGATTTCTAGCAATTAATTTCAAATAGTCCGCCAATATTAAATTCGGCGTCCTTAATATCTGGATTAATTTGCTTTTATCGTGGAGCGAATTTGTTTGCCAAGAAACTAATAAATTACTTACTAAGCCGTGTTCAGATTCACGATCACTGCTAAATTTAATTTTGCCCCGGTGTAATCTTGAGCGATGATCAATACGATTTGAATTAGACGATTATTTAAAAGTTAATAAAGTTTCATATTTTTCTAACGTGAGTAAATATTAGGAAAAATAATAAGGATAAGATAGTAAAAAACCGAAAAGATAACATTTAAAAATGCTTAAATATGTAACTAAGACCAACAAAGAAAGATAGACGACGTAAACATATTGCGTCCGTGTGTGCGTGCGTACGTGCATACGTGCGTGCGTACAAGCATGCGTGTAAACTGGCGTGGGTGTGTGTGTGTGCGTGCGTGCGTGCGTGCGTGCGTGCGTGCGTACGTGCGTGCGTGTGTGCGTGCGTGCGTGCGTGCGTGCGTGCGTGCGTGCGTGCGTGCTTGCGTGCGTGCGTGCGTGCGTGCGTGCGTGCGTGCGTGCGTGCGTGCGTTCGTGCGTGCGTGCGTGCGTGCGTGCGTGCGTGGTGTGTCGTTACCAAAAAAGGTTTCTATTTCTGTCACATACCGTACAAAGCACATCAGTACTGTTGTAATCTGTTCTATTCGTGGTCCTTTTCCGGTCGAGTTGCCCATTACCAAGTGTCTCTATCATTTATGATACTAAGTTTAATTGTATTGTTGAAACAAAAGTATAGAATTTTACGCAAAATATACTATATTATATATAATATAATATAAACCTGATTCAATTTTACTGTAGACATCAGAGGACAGCTTAAGAGAGTTTGCAATTTCGGCGGATTTCTGTTCCTTCGCGGCAGCGTCCGACCCTAAAAAGTAAAAGCATGTTACAGACCGCAAAAGGGAAATGGCCCCGCGATTTTCTCGGTAAAGTACTTTAATATAGGGCACGGCTACATGAGACTTCGTACTATCGCGGGAAGACGGGACTGCGGTATAAAATTTGCTTTTGTCCAGCTTCAAGGGCCGTCGTTAGTAGATTGAACAAACTCTCGGATAATAAAAACGTATCTTGTTAAAAAATTCTACACAGTTTTTATTTAAAACATATTACTTTTAAATTTTTAATAATTCTTTATTTTATTTTTTATTGACTCATATACTTATTTGCTGGATATGTATTTTTTCATTAATAAGATAATGGCAAGAAGATTGGCGATCGAAGTTGTACCAGACGTCTTGCATCTCCTGTGCTGCTACTCATCGCCGATCGTTATACATATAACATACGAGTATACCGGCGGAGTAAGAGAATCCAAAAGGCTTTTCTATCCTGTTGGTGCCGTAACTAAGTGAAATGCCCTGAAGATCTTGCAGCCTCCTACTTAAGGTGATGTGGGCGCCAAAAGCAGATTTTCACGTGCAATTTTTTGTCATTAAAAACTGTGAATTTAAAGATTTTTCTTAGCGAATTATGGTGGCTAAAACATTAATGATACATTTGTCTTGATAGAAAAAGATCGCAAACTTTCCTCAAAATCTACAATTTTAGGTACGTCAACTATGTGAAAAAGCATTCGAATGTAATGAAATAAATTTCAATTAAATTCAGACTATATGTTACCAGTAAATACGTAAGTGAGTTATGATTTAATTTTTTAATAAAAGAATATATATTATTTTAAAAAGAAATATCAAATAAATACTGTGCGATTAAATAGGGCGCGGGCCGACCAAACACTCCATGTAAAAAGTAAAAAATCTGCTTTTGGCGCCCACTTCACCTTAAGGCAATAAAGCCATCTTTAATATGTGCTAAATTTATGAAGCGTTGTAAAGTTGAAGCTTAATACGTCCCACTCCTGGGTTTACGTCTTTAATTTCCAGAGTTTTATGAATGGGTTAATGCGCCGTGATACTCCACGCAGGTTTCTTACATTTCAAGGATCTGAATTTCTAAATTTCACTTATGGCACACGCAAGTAAGTGAGGGTAGTGGTAGTAAGTTGTGGTAGTTTAAAGGCTATGTGATTGCTGCAATTTAACCGTACGAAATTTATCTGGACATAATTCTCACCGGTATCAAGGAAATTGTTCGTTGTAATTCTAAGTACTGAAATACCACGTACTCGTCGATGAATGTAAACAATGTGAGGATACTTGCATGACTAATAACTATAACAAAATACTTGTGGACATGTTATGTACGTCAACAAGCATTGGAGCAGTGTGGTGGACTAATTCAATCAAAAACTCTCTCAAAAATTAAAGTAGCCTTTGCCCAGCTGTGGGACCCAACAGGCTGTAACTTTACCATACTTCTAAGATAAGTAAACTTATTTTACTATCAGCCTTTTTGACCAAAATTTTTGCACTATATTATACTCTTATTTAATGTAATTCAACCCTTAGTGATTTTACAGATGAATGGAGTGTGGAAGATGAAATACATGTTATGTTATTACTTATCGGATTACGAACGTTTCCATCGCATCAGAGAAAGAATGAGAGCAATTTATTTGGATTACTTCAATTTTGTGTTTTCGCTTCTCCATTATTTTTGAAGTGAAACAGTATTATTAAGTCTGAGTGCGAAGCTTAGAGTGTTAGAAATAATTTATCTAAATAAAAAGTTACCAGGAAGACCACGATAAAGATTACCAGGGAACGCATATATAAAATAAAAAGGAATGTTAAGTAATTTTGTAGATCTTTTTCCATTTACACAGGTTTAGATGAACATATTTTTGAGTTCTATAAGACGTCAAAATAATTTGGGTTGAAAGGCAACATAAATATATTTATAATTACATACATATTAAAAAACTAATCTTGTAAAATCTTTACTTCGGACAATTATGTCATAAAATTATTGAGCAAGTTCGGACTTATCTCAACTTATATTTGTTTTTTAAAGGAAAAGTAAAACGTCTCTTTGCAAACTTTTAATAAGGCATAAGAGGCTTTATGACTTATTCAATTAATTTATAAATTCCTTATTATACCTACATAACAAAAACTTCAAATACACATTAAATGTATATAGCCGGACTTTATACCTTAGTAGAGTAGTGCAGAGATAAAAGAGGTAGGTTTAATAAGGGGTACAGATATATATATATATACAGATTGAACAAAGAACAATGATTGAACAAAGTTAGTACTAAAAGGGGGGGCACTGAAGAAAAAGGTTATTACTAGAACGGAGAACGCTATCACGGTTGGGGCTAAGATATTGAAAATGAGGAGTTAAATAAGATGGAGGTTTTGGAGTCATCAAGATAGATTACCATTAGGCGAATTGTAAGTATGTTTCTCAATTCAGTTTTATTAAAAAGAACTCTACCTTGTAGGATAGGATAATGATCACCGTCGTTATTAACAGTTTTAGCTCACTACGGATGGGATTATCATGGCTATCCTTCATGAATAAAAAAGTAGGAAAATTGCTATAAGTTTAATTGGACATTTTGACATATTAGGTTCTTAGCCTAGCTAACCATCTGAGCCGTGGTGGCTTAGATGGTTAGCGCTCGCTGTAAAATTAGTACGCGAGCAACCCGGGTTCTTATTCGCCTACACGCATTGATGAGATGTAATAACCTATCTACTTAGTTATAACTATAAACATAGATCTATAAAAATACATTTGGGATTAAAATGAACAACAAAGCAAAAATTGCAATTTTAAGTGCTGATTTACGAAAAGCTCAGCGGTGAAAGAAAACATCGTGAGAAAACCTGCATGTCTGAGGAATAAGAAAAAAATATTTTGAAGAAATGTGAAGTTCGCCAACATGCATTGGGGCAGCGTGGCGGACACTTCCTTGCCCTAAAACTCTCGTAGAAATGAGGGGAAGCCTGTACCCAGCAGTGGGACGTAGGCTGTAACTTTTTCTATATAATAAAACGGCTCCAACGATTTTCATAAAATTTATTGTCCAGGGAGTTTCGGGGATAAAAAATCGATCTAGCTAGGATTTATTGTTAGAAAATGTCTTTTTATCCGTGTTTTTAGGCAATGAAAAACTGCTACAAAATCGTTAGAATAAGAAGGTAAATTTTGACAGATTGTTAATGATTATATATAGCTTAATTGGTATAATGGGCGGTCACGGAATCGTAAAACCCCGGTTCGAGCCCAGACCGACCTACCGACTTTTTTTTTAATTTTTTTTTCAAGTTCCTTATTTTTTCGAGCCCTTTTTTTAGTATTTCTTAAAAACACGAAAATTTAAATTAAAATAATTTCACTCATGATTTTTTATTCAAATAACCAGTTCCGTTTTTTGTGTTATGTCGCTAAGATCAAAAAAATATTATTTATATTTCATCAGTATGTAATTTGTATCTAAATATAATTTGCAAAACACACGAATTAAAAAAAATTCGAGCGAAAAATACCGAGCAAAGCTCGGTCAACCAGGTACTATATATATATGTGTGTGTGTATGTGTATATATAACATAAACGGTCCAGCTGTTATCGAGTTCCCAATCTATTCAAGCCCTTATATGTATCATTTACCTGCTTCGTGGTATAGCAGTAACGCAGCCTGCAGGTCGTCATTTTCACTGAAAATAAAACGTTGCAAATCTTGCAAAGTCGTAACTGCAAAAACAAAAAACCATTTTATTAGGAATTACGTGGTAGAGTATTAGTAGTATACACGTTATAGAGCCTGTTTATTATTGTTGTATAACAGCCTAAAATAGCATTTCAAAAAACAGTAATAAGCTATGTTTCTTATGGTGCTTATACTTTTTTACTTGAAACAAGGCACACTGTCTTAGTCTTCAGGGATGACAACGCATGTCTATGGGCCATAGCATCCAGTAACCATCAGATTCACTGTGTACTGGTTTTACACTAATTCTGTAAAAAAAAACAATTAGGTACTTACATACATGCTAGTTGAATTTAATTTAGGATTTCTCAGTCTTATGCTTCATTAAAAGTTAATTGACTTTAATGATATTCATGGATGCTACTAAACGTCATCCGCTATCAAATATACACAAAAATAATAAAATATATGTATGTATAAATTAAGCCTCAAGCTAATCTTTTTATCATAAAATGAAAAAGAGCGGTCCGTAAATTTCGTTTACCATATCATAATTGACGATCTATGTGTATTTTGCACATGAAAATGTTTCACGTGATATGTTGTTTAATTTTGAACTTAAATATATTGGTGTACCATCAACATTTAATCACCTAGAAAGTTGTTGTATTTGCTTAAGGGCCAATTTTTCAATTCTCAGATAGAATTTCTTATTACGTATAAATTAATTTTATATTAATATATAAAAAGATGAGAAGAAAAAGAAAGTACAAACTGAAGAATAAAATTATCTCATGAATAGTTATTTAACCAATCTATTAGACTGTGGCAACGTTGGCTTCTGGAAAGTGAAACAGAAATATTTATCTAAGCAAACAAAACATTATTTCCATATTCTGTACGGCAAAATTGTCGCAATCAAGTATCAAATGTCAATTCGAAGTTATGTTTTTCTAGTTATTGCTTGTGTAGTTGGTTTAGCTCGTCGTATTTTGTTTGTTATTACGTACACTGAACAATAGCAATGGAATGAAACAAAGGAAAGCGTCTGACTAATTTAAAGAACCTATAGCTTATGTTAAGAATTCGATCCTTTAAAGAACATATAGCTGATGTGAAGAATCGACGCTCTGGGAAGTCTGCGGTCTGCGAACACGTACAGGATGTGAACCCCATTACTACATTAGATTTGATAGACCACAAGTCCTCGCTAAAGAATACCAATTCCTTCCAAGGATGATTCGCGAGGATAGTGAAATCAAAAACATCCTAATTTCAATAGAGAAGGCGGCTAGGCGCTACCATCTGTTTGGGATCCTATAATTAATAAAATTAAATCCCAACCCAAGCATACAACTGCAAGACTTCGAGATACTATAAGTTCATACCGTGAAGATCGCAACAAAAATTAATAATTTTAATCTGTGGGTAACGGCGGTTTACTATGACTCTGGTCGTTGAACACCTCAGTCCCCCACGTGATCATGGGTGCTGTAAAGTGGTCAAAATTTCAGGACTATAAAAAAGTTAATATACGCGATAAAATCCATAAAAACTAGTTTTATTTAAATGTGCAGTGTTATATAAATATAAGAAATAATTATTGTTGTTTATTATTTTTACAGCAAGCGGCTGCGTACGTCAGGTGGTGATTGGTCGCATTGGTTGCATTATTGCATGACGCGGTCGCTCGCTATTTAAGTGGGGAGCAGTTGTGTCAGCAAGCTGTATAAATAGCATCTGTTTTGACTCGCCGCTTTAGCGCCCCCCTTTCACCCAAGGGGGGTCGCGTTCGATACGGCTTAAAGATCTCTAGCTAGATCGTTAAGCCAGTCCCTAAAGGCGGTGTTTAGTGGGTAAAAGTCTCCACATAACCACGCAGCCGGCTGCGTGGTATGCTATGAGCATTCACCGCCTCCCTCCCCCACTTTTCGGAGGGTTGCTCTTATTGCTTTGGGCGCAAAAAAAAAAACTCGCCGCTCACTCAGCGGTTAGCTACCGTAGAGTCTACATCACCGAGGATGCCTCGTCTAGAGGCGAAACACGTGTCGTATTGTAGTCGACGGTGTGTCTTTGCTAGTGTAATGGTGTTCGGAGTAGTGGTGCTGGGATTACTTGTGACGGAGATAGTGCACGCAGTCGAGGGAGGGCGGGAAGTGCTCTTCAAACCGGGTCAGACTCATAAGTTTTTTTCATTGAACGGATATTGAGATACGGGAGTAATATTTACAAACTTTAATATAATGGATTTCCGCAAAGTAACGAATGATTCTATTACTTATCTAAAAAAGAATTATAGTAAAAAAAAAAACAACCAAAAAAACCACCACGTCAAAATGACATTATTTTTGTGTAATTATGGCTCTGGTAGAGGTACAAATCGGGTAAAAGTAATAGAGGCATATGCCTCCTATCATTACTAACCCTGACCATTCTTTAAGAATATCACCGTAATGTATTTTGTATAGTGAATGACGAAAATCATATAACTTTTTTCTGATTACGAAACTTTTTAAATAAGTCTTCAGAGATAACAGCGAATCTGCATTTTGGTTGTTCAGAGTAGATATGTAGATATGTCTATGGTATCAACTTACTCAGGTAGACTGGGCACTCGTTTGTCATCTTTATACTTGTATAAAAAACAAAGGATTTTATTTATTTATTTCATAAAATAAGGGTCGTTTGTGACTCACATCAGCCCACCGTCCACCTGATGGTAACTGGATGCTGTGGCCCATAGACATCTTCATTTAACCTCGATTAAGAATCAAAATGCAGATTGCGTTTGCGTTGTCACCCCTGAGTACTAAGATGAAATACCTCGTTTCCAGTAAAAAAGAGTCTTCGGATCTCTACACCCACCATACGAAACACAGCATCATTAAGCTGCTATTTTGCGCTGTTATTCTGTGAGAGCGTGGTCCTTCCCTGGTCGAGCCGACCCATTCATGCTAAAACCATAATATAGCTTCGGCATGGCTCCACCACGTATACAATATTGGGTATTCACTCGAGAAGAGTCACGCTGCAGCTATATAATGTTTGTAGCAGGAATGGGTCAGCTCTATTGGTGTAGGGTAGTACGCTCTCACAGTAAACTAGCTTAAAATAGCAGCTTAATGCTGCTGTTTCGAGTGGTAAATGTAGAGAATCAGAGACCCTTTGTACTGGAAACTTTGTACTGAACTGTAGTCCTCAGGGGTGCGTATGCATTTTGAATCTTAATCGAGGATAAATATGGATGTCTGTACGAGTAGGTTACGGCATCTGCCTACCATCAGGTGGACTGTGTGCTCGTTTTTTTAATAGGAGAGGGTGCAAACGACCACGTGGCTCTTCTGATGGTAGCAGCAACCGAAACACCAGGGGAATAGCAGATGCGTTGCCGGCCTTTTAAAAAAGAGTAGACTCTTTTAATGAAGGTCCCTAAGTAGTACTGGTCTAGAAAAATCTCTGGTGGTAGTCGATTCTCCAAGCAAGTTGTGTAAGGAAGAAAACTTCTTTTAAATCGCACAGTAGTGAACCGTCAGTCATTTAGATGGTATGGATGGTATCACGAGTTTTGTAGCGATCTGCGATGGCGAAATTGTGCGGCTGGAATTAGTCCGAACAATTCCTCAAAGCACTTCCCGTGATAAATACGATAGAAGACGCAAAAAAATTCAACAACTCTTTGCGGTGCCAGTGAATCAAGCCAATCGGAAAGAGCTCGGTCACCGACGATTCGAATGGCTCTGCGCTGGATGCAATCAAATGAAAGAAGCTGGCACTTGGGAGCCCCAGCCCAGAAATGTGAATAGTATTCGCTGTGCCTGCTACTGAGCTGAACCTTGTGCAAGTTGCAGGTGGTATGCTGATATGAAATACTGTCCCACTCTGATGAGCGCACCAAGCTTTTCAGAGGCGAATTTGGCCTTCTCTTCCAAGTGACCATGAAACTGCACGTTACTCAACATGTCGATGCCGAGGATTTCGATACTGGCTAAGGAATTAAAGACAGTACCTTGAAAATTAGGAGATACGACGACGGGGTTCTCTTAAGCGGTAAACGCGCAAACTTGTGTTTTTGAGGATTGAACTGGACTAGATTTAGTTGCCCCCAGTCCAAGAATTTTTCCAACAAACTTTTGACCTCAGACATAATTTTTTCTGGTACTCGGTGACGTTTTCCTGGGGAATATTGGCACGGCCAGTATATAAGAAATCATCAGTGCTGTAGTTCGCATAGCAATGAATGTTACTGGTTTGCAACATATCATTGATATGCAGAAGAAACAGCGTTGGTGATAGCACGCAGTCTTGTGAAATACCAGCGTTAATGGGCTTAAAATCGGAGCATTCACTACCTTGATGCTCCAATTTGCAGGAAAACCGGTGACCCAATTGTACAATTTCTCGGGAAGCCCATAGGAAGGAAGCTTCGTAAGAAGCGCTTTCTGCCAAACCCGATCGAAGGCCTTCGCTATGTCCAAACTAACTACCAACGCTTTCCCCTGTGGATACTACTGCCTCCGCTCATCTATGAGTTAGGTAATCTAGAAGATCACCAGCTGAGTGACTCCGACGGAAATTGTACTGGCGGTCACTGATCAGCTGGTAACACTCAAGGTTCCTCATGAGCTGGCAGTTTATAATTGTTTCCATTATTTTGGAGAACAAGGAGATAACAGCGATAGGCCTGTAGTTGAACGGATCTGAGCGGTCGCTTTTTTAGGGAGCGGGTGCACTATAGCTGTCTTTAACGAGTTTGGAGCTAAGCCTAGGAAGTAACGGAAAAAACGCGTTAAAAGCGATGCCAACTCCGATGCACACGTCTTCAGCAAAATAGGACGAACGCCATCAGGCCCACACGACTTTTTGTCGTTCAGGGAGAGGAGTGTCCTAAACACCGAGCGCTGGGTAAAACAGCATGTCTGGATCAATCATACCGCGGGATGATCGGCGATATGTTCCCCCTGTCGTCAACTGTTTGCGACATGGGCCATCTTCCCTGTGCTGATATGGGAGAGATGGTTGACAGAAGTTCCCTTAGACAGCCCTGGCGAGAGACCAGAATGCACATGTTCCCGAAGGTGGTCGAACTAGTTTCTCGCCAATTCTACCGATGTGCTCAGACTTTGCCTTGGCAATGACACTTTTGAAGGACCTGAAGGCGAAATTATACTTCTATATCGTTAGTCACCCTTATTCAATAAATAAAAAGAACCCCTCCTAGACAACTGCTCCTTATTAAAGACTAATGAGATAAGATTGGTTAGGCTAACGTGAAGTGTCAAAGACACAAGGGCTATTGTAATACAATCAGAATCAAAATCAAAAATTCACACGTTTTTTTACAATAATATTTATTTACGATTACTCCAATAGCTAGCCCACACAGTCGGTCTAATAACATTGACAAATATAACAAGGTCTTTATCGTGCCAGAAATGCAATATCATATTAATCCATATGACTCGTATATACTTACGTTTAGTGAATTTGAAAGGCGATTTCGTTTTGCTCGCCCATCTGTCCGTAGTGTTCTTCCATAAGATATTCCATCGGCGTCGGCATATTCTTCCGACCGAGATACGCTTTGTGAACGTAATGAAAGGTCTGGGAACTGTTCGGGTTAAAGGATTTGAGTTTGGGTTGAAGGATATTTTGTGCACTATTTAGTCATGGTAAGACAACGCTGTAACGGTTTACCATGTAGTGGCGGTGTTATAAATATCCATTACCCCATATCAGAAACAAATCAGGAGATGGGCAGCGGTGTCTTCCTAATAACGACTAATAATAAAGACTGGGGTTATCCACCTGCTTGCCTAGCGTGGCAACTATGCTAAATATCTCTAATATGAGGCGATCCATAGGGGAGGCCTATCTTCAGCAGTGGACATTAATAGACTTCGCTTCAACTAAGCAAGGTACATGCTCGCAAATTAAAACAGCGTGAAAGAGCAGTAGTATAATAGTATTTTGTATGAAGTTAGCGACGTAAACCGGAGACCCTTTTTACTGGTAACGAGGTAGTCCACCCTCTTGGACTCGGAATTCTTAGTCTCAATGGCAACAACGTATATACTGGTAAGGTAATAAGGCTTTTTATCTTCGTTCACACGGATAGCAACTAATCTACGTTTTGGTTCCTAATCGATGATAAAGAGTACATGTAATCATTTTCAAGGACATAGATACTCAGACAGTCCAATCTATAATTTTCGTAGTAATAAATCCTTAGTGGTTTACTTTTCACTTTAATTTCAAATTATTTATTTCATAATTAGAACTTTGAATAGAAAAAGAACTATCAGATATTTTATTAACTTCATAACGCCTGACTTAGTGAAATTTTATGAAATGATAACGAAGATAAAGAGAAAAAAATTAGTGTGACGGAGCTGTCAAGGCAGCGCAAGCAAAATGCACCGAAGCTTAAATCATGCTACCAAAGTTCCGATGTACTGCGGTGCATACGAGTATAAAGAATGGCTTTGTACTACCACACGGAGCGATGGCCGTTTCCCGGTCGAATACCTTGCCCGGCGGGAGATCTCTTCTTTGCCTTTTACGGTGCAAGAAACTTTACCTATTTTTGTATTGCAGACAATCTGTGCCGAAATGACTGATCTGGATAACTAAGAGTAGCAACTGCAGCTCAGACTGTTTAGGTATTAAATATACATGTGAAAAATTTACTAAAACCTCCTAAACTACACAAATAAATTTTGTTCAGGAACTATAAAACTATAAATATAAAAAGAATTTTGGTTATGTCTGAATGATTTTCTTTTAGCTTATGTGTTCGTTAGTTCTTAGATGTCAAACATTTTCCTTCAGACCGAATTTCGGTCACTGCGGCCACTCTTAAGGGATGCTAGTCATCTGCAAAAGACCGGATTATTGTGTGCGAGGGTATACGCAAGCGCGGGTGCACTCTCAATTCTTTCATTCTCATAGTCCGATTGGACGGCACACTGATACGATCCGAGAGAGGTTAGGTTCAGGACCAACGGATTGTACGTGCTTTTTGTGCCACGGCGTTGAAGCAGCACTAACTTCCTGACTCCGGCTGCTGCTGGCTGCTTTTGCAGTCATGTTTACGACTACTAGGCGAATGAGGCGGTCGATGAATGAATGTCTAATAACGACGGTGTAACTGTGCAGTTTATGTTATTTTAACAGATGCCTATTTTTACAAAAAAAAAAGATTTGTGAAAAAAAAAACATTTATGTGAACTTAACGCCCCTCTTAAACAATTCACATACAATTAGTATTTATAATACAAAAATAATTTAAAACTAAAAATACAATACACTTGCCTCGGTGATGGCTTTTTCTATTTTTCTGACATTGTGTGCATCTTCCCTTACAGTCTCGAAGACTTTTTACACTACCTGACTTAGCAACTTCTCGTCTCCAGCAGTAGTGGTGGGAATAATCATGAGATTCACATAAATCTGTAAAAATTGCGTCGTTTGCTTTCTGTTATTGTTTATTACAAAATATTGGTGACGAATTAATCTTATCGAAATCCATATAAATTTTCCTTACATATCGTTGTAAATGTCGTCTAGATGGAAACGGTCCATTAAGGCTAGACCAACATGATTATGAAGCTCGAGAATTGATACTACTTGAAATAGTATATGCTCGAAAAAATATGCGCATACAATCTCAATTAAATTCTTAATCAAATGGAGTTTTAAAATACTTCATATTAATCAAGATGTAATAATTATGTTATGCAAAATCTCACACAGCTGCGTGCGCGCAGTATGCTTATAATATATAGATATTTGTAAAACTATATTAATTTCATTCAAATTTTTGAGTACTGAGTTTCATTTCATCTGTTGGCCCCAGGCCATGCAATATAAAAAAGTACACCTTTGCGCAGGGGACTACTATGTGAAAGATTACTATACAAAGGCACAAGTTATAATGTATGTGATATTAGCAATCCGAAATAACAGTTATACAACGTTGTCTAGACACATGCCAAGTTCGGAAAAGAAAAAAGCGACGGCACGTTACCCGCAGTTATTTATGAGAAGCATTGCAAGTCAGTTTCGCCCTCAGCGTCGTAATTTATTGCTAAGTCACTGCATCACGGAGCCGTCGAGTGCAAGTGCGTACAAGCACTTTCTTGAAACTGACCGCACCAATAAATTTGTCGGCGTTTAATTCTTATAGTTTAAATTAAAAATCAAAACAGTGAAGCCTTAACGCAAGGATAAAGGTTGGAGATTAATAAAGTTAAGTTAAAATTTGGAGGTTATTTAGATTACAAAAACAAAATTTTGGAAAGTTCGGAACAAACCACTTTCGGGGATGTCGCTCCATCAACCGTCAATATATGAATGAACAACGTTAATGGAACTGCTATTCATTGAATCACAATAATCTTGTTGATCATTACTATTCTTCAAGGGACCGGCTTCCTAAAGTTTAGATTTATTTTGATCATTAAACAGTTTGTGCGAGGTTACATCGTCAATTAATATAAAGCTATTTACGCTGTGCTGTGCATTTGGTACAAATACTTTTTACAATTATTTTAAACTAGCTGAGCGCCGCGGTTTATTCGCGTGTATCACGCGTCTAAGCCGCAGGACAAGACACCTCATTAGTGGGACAATTTGAAGAGAATTGCATATAAAAATTGAGATGGAATAGTTTACAGTACTCTATTCCTCCTTTACTACAAGGTGTTATTATATAAAGAGAGTTTAAGTTTTATAAAAGAACGCAACTGCATGTCACCTTATTCTGGCCAAGCTCACCTGTAGTTTACTAAGCTTTACCAACCAAAAAAGAGGGGTATCATATTTAAAAAAAAACTTATTATACCTTTAGAATGTTTCTTATAATTTCTCTCAGATGAATTCAGCTTCAAAGGACATTTGTTCAAAAGTGCGTTCTTTTGGGCACAAGTCAAACTGTCTTTGCAGCTGTCAAGGTGGATACAATCCACGCTGTGACCGTCAATCAAGCTGGAGACGCCATGCTCCATAAAGTAATTGCTTGAATAGTCATCACGAACTTCTATGTCCGTTTCATTAATACTCCTGATGGTTTTGTAACCTTTTAAGAAATGAGAACTAACATTACAATATTATATTTATACTTATGTTATATATACACACACACACACACACACACACACACATATATACACACACATACACATATACTCACACATATATATATATATCATCATCATCATTACAGCCCTTCACAAGTCCACTACTGAACATAGGCCTCCTCCAAGTAATGCCACAAGAGCACGGTCCTGAGCCACCTGCATCCATCGACTTCCTGCATATCTTACCAGGTCGTCACTCCATCTAGTGGGGGTCGCCCTACACTACGCCTACCGGTACGAGGCTGCCACTCGAGAAACTTTCTTCCCCATCGGTTATCGGTTCTTCGAGCTATATGGCCGGCCTATTGCCACTTCAGCTTACTAATCCGTTGGGCTATGTCGGTCACTCTGGTTCTGGTTTGCGGATATCCTCATTTCTGAGTCTATCACGCAGAGAAACTCCGAGCATAGCCCTCTCCATAGTTCGCTGAGCGACCTTGAGCGTCCTCATACGGCCAGCAGTGAAGGACCACGTCTGAGATCCGTAAGTCATCACTGGCAACACGCACTGGTTGTACAATCTAGTTTTTAGTGATTGAGGTATACCTGACGAGAAGATATGTCGTAATTTCTCGAACGCTGCCCAGCCGAGTTGAATCCGTTGATTGACCTCTCGGTCGAAGTTGGACTTACCTAGTCGGACTATTTGTCCCAGGTAAACGTACTCGTCAACAACTTCGAGCATAGTGCTCCCAACAACTACCGGCATAGGTGTGACATGGACATTAAACATAATCTTTGTTTTGTCCATGTTCATCTTAAGACCTATCCGTTGGGAGGCACTATTGAGGTCATTGAGCATAGTGCTTAAGTCCTCCAGCGATTCTGCCATAAGGACTATATCGTCGGCAAATCGAAGGTGAGTGTTGTACTCGCCATTGATGTTAATACCGTATCCTTTCCAGTCCAGTAGCTTGAAAACTTCTTCCAATACAGCGGTGAAGAGTTTCGGGGATCTAACGTCACCCTGTCTTACACCTCTCTGCAGTTGGATAGGTTTCGAGCTCTGGTTCTGTACTCGGATAGCCATCGTAGCCCTACTGTATAAACACTTCAGCACTTCGATATACCGACAGTCAACTTGGCACCGCTGAAGGGACTGTAGCACCGCCCAAATTTCGACGGAATCAAAGGCTTTCTCATAGTCCACAAACGCCAGGCTTTGCCAATGGCAGATTGTACTCTTCGGTCTTCTGTACAATCTGACGCAGGGTATATATGTGGTTTATGGTACTGAAGCCTTTTCGGAAACCGGCTTGTTCGGGAGGCTGAAAGTCGTCGAGTCTGCATGCGAAACGGTTCGTAATGACTCTCGAAAACAGCACGTAGACGCGGCTCAGAAGGGAAATCGGTCTGTAGTTCTTCAAGAGGGCATTGTCACCTTTATTGAAAAAAAGACCACCGCACTTCTGCTCCACGCCTCCGGAGTAGTGCCACCATGGAGGACGGGATTGAAGAGTTTCTGAAGGACCTCAAGTACCGGTGTTCCACTCGCTTTCAGAAGCTCCGCTGTAATTCCAACCTCGCCTGGGGCTCTGCCGTTTTTAAGGTGCTGGAGAGCCATTCTAATCTCGCTTAGACTGACGTCCGGGATATCATCGGAATAGTGTCGGATAAGACTTGCTCTTGGATCGTTACTCACACTTTCGTGTGGCTCCAGCAATGATGTGTACAGCTGCCCATAGAACCTCTCAATCTCACTCAAAATCTCAGGTGTCCCGGAAACGATGCTGCCACACTCATTCTTCAGCTTTGACAGTTGGCTCTTACTGTCAGACAGATCTCTGGCAAAGACTTTGGAGCCCTGGTTCTGCTCGATCGCTTCTTTAATACGAGCAGTATTAAAGTTGCGTAAGTATCGCCGCATGCATTTGGAGATCTATCTGTTCAGTTGCCTGTATGCTGTCAAATCTGTTGACGATTGCAGCCTCATCTCCCGTCTAACAGCCATGGGATTAAGAGTGTGATCGGACAGTTTTTGTGTTCTTCTGGGTCGGGTCTTGCAGCACTTAGCTCGGACCGCATGGACAGTTTCCACGAGCTTGTCATTCATATCGTCCACTGCATTGCAATCTTGTAGGCACTGAAAGCGGTTACGTAACTCGAGCAGAAAATTTTCGGGATTCTGGATTAGAGCACGAGGGGGACGGAGCGTTGACTTCATTAGACGAGACCTCTCCAACTTAACGTTTAGGTTCAGTGCGCCTCTAACCATTCGGTGATCGCTGCCAGTTTTCACTCTTGCGATCACTGAGACATCACTGAACAGTTGGCGCCTGGTCGTCATAAAGAAGTCAAAGTCATTGTCAAACGTCGGGGCTCGACCAGGTCCACTTCCTATGGGGCCGCTTCTGGAAGAAAGAGTTCATCATAAAGAGTCCCTCTTTCTCCATAAAGTCGGCTGCTGGCCCCTTCGGTTCCGTTGCCCTACTCCAAATTTCCCTAACTTCAGCTCACCGTTTTCTCTTGTGCATAGTTTTGCGTTGAAGTCTCCCATCAACACCGTGTAGTGGGTTTTGGAGGAATGCATGGCTTTGGAAATATCCTCATATATTTCCTCCACCTCCTCATCGGGATGTGCCGAGGTTGGTGCGTAAACCTGTATGACCTTCAGCGAATACCGTGTGGTGATTCTGAGTATCAGGTACGCGACCCTCGTCGACACACTCCCAATCTTTACAACGTTGTTGACGAGAGACTTTTGGACGATAAATGCGACACCTCCTTGGGACAGATGGTCGCCCTCCCGGTGATAGAACAAGTTGCCGGATTCGAGAATCACCGTGTCCTCCCCCTCTCTTCGGACCTCGGATAATCCTATAATATTCCAACGCAACTTGTCTATCTCTTCTTCCAGCTCCAGGATCTTCTCGTCAGTCCTCAGGGTGCGTGCGTTAAATGTTGCCAGGTCGAGTCGTCGTAGATGGCAACCGAACCTCCACCGGAGATTCTTAGCACCCCCTGCCCCGCCGTTACCATGGTCGCCCCCGTAGCCAGGAACAGCGGGGCCGCCGGGGACTGGGGGCCGTCTTTGTGTAATTGTTCATGGGTGGTATATTGCCATAGTTGCCACGCTTGGCGAGCGGGTTGGCAACCGCAGTTTTTTATTGTCGTACAGTTGCTGTTATCAGGAAGATGCTGCTGCCCATCTCCTGCCTGTTTCCCTCTGTCGCCTTTTACGACACCCACGGAAAGATATGGGGTAATGGATATTCTTAACCACCACTACACGGACACACACACAATATATATATATATATATATATATATAAATCCTGAATAAAAATAATTTTATGGATACTATATCATGAATCAATAATAAATCAAACGCAATATTATTAAATGTGTAGTATCAGTATGTATCCCATTAGTCTCCACAATTTACAAGTGGGAAGAGGTACCTTCATATCGAAATCGCTTAGCAAAGTTAACTATAGCAGTCTCACTCTCAGCTTTCAGAAGAAGCACTTCTATCTATATCAAGCTATTTGTGTGATATTTTAAGTGTTATTTAATACTTTATCTGCTACGTGATATTAGTATAAGGTCATTGATCACACTATCTCATACCTTGATAGCTTAAAAACATTTATTTCATTTCAATTGACTGTAGGAAAAGGCAGGAATATCATGATAGATCTCTATAGTTGTAAATTAGCTCCTCATATCGACTTTAGCCAAGTAACGACAGCGTTATGTATGAGAAGTATGTTATTACGATAGTCTATTCGCCTGCAAAGTGTGGCCTAAACGACAATTCATGTAAAACTTAAACGAAGAATCCTACTTAGTCGGATAGCGCGAAATTTTCTAACATTTCGCTTGTGTTACTTTAATGACACCCACAATGCAACAGGCTGATGAATTAATTTAAGTTACACACGTTATAAGATGGAAAACAAAGCCGTATAAAAATGTTAGACCTTCAGCTTCTAAGTTAGTCATTCTTTGAAGAATTTCAGAAGAATATTCAACGTATGATGGTGCGGGTATTTTGTCAGTTTTTGTTTCTTTTTGTGTTCCTGTAATATAAGGAGTAAATAATACATTATAGTTGTAATAAAATAGACAGAAAAAGATTCAAGTAAAATTTGTATAATTAATACATATATTCTAAATTTAATACCTAAGGGTTTTTAACTTCCCGCTATGAAAATCACTGAATACATAAAATCAGGAAATTATTAGTTTCACCCCAGTGTGTGTGTATGCGTGTGCGTGTGCAAGTGCGCGTGCGTGTTTGCGTGTGCGTGTGCGCGCGCGCACGCGCGCCTTTACGTGTGTGTGTTCGTGTGTGAATATCAGTGTGCGTGCGCGCGATAAGTCTGTGTGTGTGTTTGTGTGAGGTGACTTTTGAACGGCTTAACCGATTTCAATGAACTTGGTGGCATTCGAAAGTGTTTCACTAAGTTTATTTTCACAATACTTTTGAATTTATAGTCTAATCGTTTATTTACTATAATTTTTTTTAATGTTATTAAAACACCTCATCCATTGCCACCAATTACATCAAAATTGGTTGATCCGTTCGAAAGTTATCGCAGTCAAAAATAAAAAAAAGGTTTTTTTTAATAACTCCGCAATTTCTGTTCGTATTGGTTTTTATATAATAAGTTAACTATTAGCTTATTAAAAATATTTAACGAGTGTTTTGAGATCGATCATAACGGGAAGTTCCAGGGATGGCCTGCAGAGTCAACCGTTTTTTAGATTTTTTAAAGAATTTTTATACTATAAAGTAGACAAACGAGTACACAGTCCACCTGTTAAGTGGTTGCTGTGACCCATAGACATCTACATCTATCCTCAATTACTTATCAAAATTCAGATGAAAATCATCGATGATGTATTAGTTGATAGCTAGCTAGACGTATCGACATATGATAATCCTGCCGATCATTACAGCCGAAGTCTTGTACATAATTAGAAAGTTTACATTTTAAATTTCATTTATTGTAGATCATTTTTATTATTGGGATGGCAAACGAGCGAACAGTTTACGAGATATAAGTGGCTACTGCTGCCCAAGGGCACATGCACCAACTTTGAAGTAATAAGGCCACAGATACACTGCAAGCTCTGAGAACTGCGGGTAAATACCCCACAGTCTGTACTTACACTGGCTCTCTTTAAATCAGAACATAGCAGGATGTGCACGATATTTAGTGCGCAGATGCGTAGTCACCCGTGAGGACTAGGATGAAATGCCTCGTTTCCAGTAAAATGGATCTCCGATTCTCTACAGTCATCATACGAAACACAGCAGCGTTGAGCTGCTATTTTACGCTAGTATTCTGTGAGGGAGCGGTTCTTCCCCGGTCGAGCCGTCCCATTCGTGTTACAACTGTACTACTAATATAGTTGCAGCATGGCTTTACAAGTAAAATGCACTATTTATAAAAATATTAACGTAAGCATTAAAATATATATAAAATACACAGCGTAGGTGACTGGAGCATGTCGACAACGTGCATAAAACTCGACAACTATTATCTGTGTAGAAGAAATTATAGTACCAAAATATTAAGCGAAAACACAACGGCAGTTGCCGGTTCTCACCTACCTGTGCGCGATGTAACGTTTCTGCAGTAATTTGAAAGTAAATTAAGATGGAGTTTCAGTAAAATGAGACACTCACAATAAATACACAACAGAACTTCATTTGGCTGAAAGCATGTTTTCTAAATCTTTGACAAGCCGGAAATATATCTTATAAGGCTGTAGTTCTATTCTGCCCGAAGTCTTTCTGGGCAGGCACCATCTTTATTTCTGACGTCAAATAGTAGCTAGTGCTAGCACTGCCGTGTCCCGGTTTGAAGGTTATCTGGAGCTGGTATAATTAAAGGCGGTGAGGCAGTGTCCTTGGTCTACATCAGCCACTTACCACCAGCTGGCCACCTAGTCCGTTTCTCACTTCAATTAAAAAAATAATGTAAGAAAAAAGTTAATTACCTTTTTTCACAAAGTAACGTCGTGTTTTTTCACTTATGTATTTTCTTTCGTTTAATACTTTTTCTTTACATCCTGCTGTATGCTTCTTAATTTCTTTTAATTCTAAAATCCAAATTTTATCAATCATAGAAACCCTTTTTAGTTTTCTGTTTGAAATGAACTTTAGAGTTAGTTGCTTGATCGTTCCTATCAATCTCTGATTAGTATAAAGCCGACATATTCGCAATGGTTATGCGGATTGCATTACCAGTGCGTGGAATTTGGATTATGTTATCGGATAGATTCTTCGCCATCAGTTATTGTTCATCAGGGCTTCGTCCGAAAATCACCAGGGTTTGTCTCGTGCGGGTGAAGTTAGCAATTAAAAATCAGCTGGCATATCCCCCTTTCATCAATTTCATTCAAATTATTTTAACATAATATGTTATATATAACTACGTAATTTAGAGCTGAATTTCAATCCTTAGATAAGAATAACATAATAAGAATGTTAAGTTCAAATATTATTTACCTCCTTTAGCATTTCTACATGGCGCCATTCTTTTTAAAATATCTTTAGTTTTATGTCTACGACATTCAAATAATTGGTTAATAGTTACAAAATCATCCGAAGTTTGAAATTTTATACTTTCGTTGCGAGGATCCAATAAAGGGCATCCTTAAAAATTTGCAATTGTAATTACACGTTTAATATTTAATTAAATACATCAAACATAATTAGCTTTACAGTCAGAAAATAATATTGCTACTTGTATAATTGCAGAAGACAAAAAAGTATTTAAACATGTTTTATAATTTAATACAAGACTTTAAAATTGTTAAATATTATTTAAAGTAAAGTAAAGTTACGGCCTATATTCGTCCCACTGCTGGGCACAGGTCTCCCCTCATTTCTGAGAGGGTTTTAGGGCGAGGAAATGTCCGCCGCGCTGCGACGCAATGAGTGTTGGCGAACTTCACATGTCTTCGAAATATTTTTTTCTTATTCCTCAGACATGCAGGTTTCCTCACGATGTTTTCCTCCACGTGGTAAACCAGCACTTAAAACTGAAATTAACAATTTCATTGGTGCCGGCGGGGATCGAACCCGGGTTACTCGCGTTCTGTTATATTTACAGCGAGCGTTAAACATCTGAGGCTCATATATTATTTATTTCCACGCAATCGCTTAATCTCTTAACAACATACAACTGTGATTTTATTTGAACTAACATCACTTTATATAGTGTACCTGGTACTGTATTATTTACTGGTGACTCCTGTTCTAGTATTGAACCGTTTTTAACGTTATTTGAAGGACAAATAGGTGACATATTTGTTTTTTCGAATCCCACAGCAAAGTCACTGACTTTATTTTGATCAGACATTGTTCTTAATTGATTTTCATCTAAAAAGTACATGAAAAATTATAAAATATTATTATATGAGTCTATTGTTAGACAGAAACTAATTAAATTTTCGTAGGAATTTACCAATCGCCACATTTTTATTGACACAATTCTGGCTATGACTGATTTGAGGCACAATTGTACTGGGTATATTTGGTGCCAAAAAGTTCACAGGTGGCTTTAAATAGTTCGCTACAGGTTCCATGAGCCACTCTAAACATTGAAAAACGTATTATTATAATATAATCATGTGTTTAATATTTCATGAAAAGCTGAAGAGGCTTACCGTTAAGTCGGTCGCTACCCATGTCGACGTTGAAAAGAGCTTGTCCAGGCACTTGTTTTGTTTTAATTGCAGAACCTGATTTGATTTGAGTTTCTGTTATGATAAATTGTTTTTCGTAAATAATTTTATACTTTGTTTATTAAAATATAGCAATTAAGCTTAAGATTAAACCTTGTTTTTTTGCAAGAAGTTTTGTTTTCTCAAGTGATGGATCGATGAAAAGTTTACGAGGTTGGCTTACAGCTTTAATAGAACTTTTTATGTATCTAGGGATATGACTCGGCTTTAAGTTATCATCAGCTCCTGAAATATGCAAATATTTTTAGTTTTTGTTACATTTTTAAGTTATTGTTTTAAAATAGAAATAAAAGTAATGTAAATATCACCTAAACACTTCTTATAGTTCGATACTGGTTTGTTTACAGGTTTGCTTGTTCCTGCCGATCTATCACCTTGAAGTATAAAAATAATAGTGCTTATACTATAAAACAAAGACAGTGAAAGAAATATTTAATAATGAATTACCAGAATCCAATATATTAATTGTTGAGTCCATCTTCTTTGTATACTTGGTAATAGGTATTATACGACCTCGTGAAAAAAAAAGAAATCTATAAAAATAATATCATATCAAAAACAAATATTAATAGTTCAATAATTTCAAAAGTTTTTTTCGTACCAATATTACATTTGTTTTTGTTAAAACTTAAATGTCCGTAGGCCACAATGTAGTCTCTTGTAGGGTCAAATCTCTGTGGGCTTTTTTTTACTGAATCCACTTCATAAAAATGGTTGAAAGCTAGAGAAAAACAAAAGTAGAAAAGCAAATAACTAAAGTTTTTGAAATGGTGTAACAATAAACAAGGATTATGACTGACTGGGATTGAAACTGCCCTGTGGTTATGGTATAAGATAATACTGGTTCAATGTAGTCCTGTGGGTGTCGTAAGAGCTACTTTTGGAAAATACCTATATTAATCCACGAAATTAATGAATATTTGAAAGTCTTTATTTGTGACCTTTGAAATTATAACTGAAATGTAATATTTTTAAAGACCAGCAATATAAAATGATTAATTAAATATGAATAGGAATAGACCAATAAATAATCTAAAATAAAATATAAAATAGTATGTTCTATAATAATTTTACACTACAAAAATTAAAGCTAACAAATGTGTTGCAATATCTTCAGATATATTTAGTTATAACTATCTATCTATCATATATATATATATATATATATATATATATATATATATATATATATATATATATATATATAAACGTCTAAGTAATGCGACGTCTGGTTCCGTGATTGTTTATCCCCATATTGATAAAGGTAAATTCACACTGTCAAGGAAGAAGACCTATATCCTATGTGGGTCAAAGAAGACGACGATAAATTCTAAAACAAACTCTAAGGTAAAATATACATATAAGGATTTTAAATAAGTTCTTTTCTTCACTAAATGGAGTAGCGAACTTGTATAATACAGGAGGTCAATGAATGCAGATGGCTCAGGACAGTGTATTGTGGGCATTAAGGACCTTATTAATGATGATGATGACAAGATGATATTATGTAAGTTTTGAAGGTTAGAAATTATTACCTACATATAAAAAATTAAATAAATATTCATATGAGCGAACGTATGACTGCTTTTTTGTATTAACTTCTCGACAGTAATCGCCACGTGTCTTATTTATCACTCACCATGCTATTAGATATATTCGTAATATCTATTACGTTTCGTTCTTGGATGGAATTTTATTAGTCAGCGGAGTTTGCCAGGTGTGGTTAAAAATTTGAAAAATACTTGTCTTATTCTCTTTTGGTTACTTTTTTAAATAAAATTGAAGTATTTTATACATACTAAATAGCTAAGAATGACATTTTTTACTACTATTTACTAACAACTTTTATTTATAAAAGCAAAATGTTTAAAATTAAAAAAAGTTATTTTGAAGTATCTAATATTTGATAAACGTTTATTTTGCATAAAATAAATTTAGGGACATTAATTAATTTTAGATTAGGGTAAAAAGTCTAGAGGTTTAGTGTCTTAGTGCACTCCGATATTTGTTTTGAAACTAGTAGTGGTTGCACTATTTATGGTAATATCACGTACAACACTAAAGATCTTCTGGATTCTATAAATCTTAAAATTACTTACACATCCTTACTTGTACTAACATCTTGTACGAGTGTAATATTATAATAGCTGAAAATTAATTGCTTCTACTAAAAATACAATGAAGTATGTTTTGTTTTGCCAATCATTGCTAGGGAAGTATATTATGAATTACCTTGAAGGAACCATTACACAAATTTTTATTCGACATAAGAGTAAATAAAAAAAGTATATTTATGATAATTTTTATTTATTTCAATATTTTACATGGAATTTGTGAGCAGTAACTTTTACATTTTAATTTTGACAATTAAATTTGACATAGTCTCTTCTTGACATATTATGTAGTATACTTTCTTCTTGATTTTGACTAAGAAACGATTACGTTGTAGCTTTTTCACTTTGTCTTTGAAAATGTTATGGTTTTAACTATGGACCGATATTATTGCAGTTATTTAATGCTTGCTCTGCCTGTATTGCTTCCAGTTTCTTTATTAATTCTTCTTGAACACTATCCACTATTTCTTTTAAGTTTTTTGCTGCAATCAATAGTTATTAATATAATTATATATTTATAAGCAGCTATTAAATTAAGTCTATTAACTTGTCTTATAAATATAGATGTCTCTTGTAACGCTTATGATTTCAATTATCAGTCCCCTAGTTTCATTATCTCGTCCCCTGGCATGAAAAATAAAAGAAGTAAAGTTGGAAGACATTTTTGATAATTTGTTATTCAAAGCATTATTTTCTATAGGAGTAAGGATGACAAACGAGCCCACAGTCCACTTAATGGCTAGTGGATTTTGTGGCCCTCAGACATCAACACCTATCCTTGATTAAGAATTAAACTACAGATACGTTGTCACTCCTGAAGACTAAGATAAAAATGCCCCGCTACCACTAAAAAGTGTCTAAAGCTTGTGGGTGTGGATTAATTTCTTATTTTAGACTAAGAAATAATAGATAAATACTAGATTATGTTTGATATTTGCAGTAAATATAACAAAAAACAAACAAACCACAAGACGTATACTATGTATATTGACATGGATATCACTTGGTAGGTTCTTCACAGTTTGATTTGATAGTAAACATGTTATTGCAAGCTCTCAAACTAGTTTCATTAAAACTTGAAAACAATATTGTAAAGGGGAAAAATCCTCTTACTCTCTCAGAAGTTAGAGGAGGACTTGGTCCAGCAGTGAGACGTAATCGGGCTGCAAATTTACTGTTTTTATTTTTTCTTTACAAAAGTACGCTACTATAAACGAAATAAAAGCCTTAACGGGATATTATTTTTAAAAAGTATTAGGATTTCCTCAGATCACTCTAATTGACCTAAAATGCTTTAGAATTCACGCTAGGAGTGGATAACGACAATAATCAAATTCAAACCGACTGTTAAGATTCACAGGCGGCAATACATTAGTTTGTTTTTAAAAAATATCTAAACCACGTTCTTAGGTACATATTACCCACCAGTTTTCTTGTTAAATTCCTCTGCAATCAACGATATCTTCTTTAAAGTGTTAACATGCTTAGCCAGCTCTATTGCAACATCATTACCGTTTCCAGTATTAACAGCTGCATCTTCTTTAACTGCCCTTTTACTTCTTTTTGCAGCAATTTTAAAATCTTCACTGTTAATAACTGGCATTTTAGGGACTTTAAAAGATGTTTTTCGTATAGTGTCTTCTAAATTAAGCATTTGATAATCACCATCATTATCATAATTACTTTTAATTTCTAGTTTTGTTTCTTCAACTGTATCACTGAGTAACAGAGGTAAAGCATTATTTTGTGGACTCTCCGATTCTACGGGTAGCTCTTTAATTTCAGCTTTCCTTTTCAAAAATTTGATTGGAAGTGCATTGGTTATACTATCTATGATGGTCTCTGTAATATCGAATATTAATTTAAAATGTAAAACAGGTATCGGATTTAAGTTATTATAGTTAAGCTTTACTTACGTACTATGCTTTTAGATGATTCCTCTTGTTGTTTCTTTTTTGACGCTAACTTCCTAGTAAGCTCTGCCAGAAACATTGAGCACGTTGGTCCTAGATATAAAGAGGTATTACTAAATTTTCGTCTATTTTATAGTATAAACAAGTATAAATATCTATAGTAACCGTCGCTTTTTCGCTTCTTTGGAGTTTTAGGCTTGCCTGTTGATTTCTTGTTTTTGGTTTTACCGCGCGGTGATTTATCCATTGCTGTCAACAAAAATTAATCGTTTTACCCACGTTTTTTCTTTAATTCATTAGCCTTTCACTACTTCACAAGTCCTCAAGGAATGCTACAAATCACGGTTCTGAGCCACCTAAGACCAAAGAACAATCAAATCAAATCAATACCCTTCATTGTATACCAAGGAAGGGAAAAGAACACAAATATTGAGGGAAAAACAAAAGGCGGTCTTATTTCTACATAGAACTACCTTCCAGACAGCCCAGAAAAAATTAAATAAAAACAAAAGAAAAATAAGGGATAGATAGTGCATAAGTAAGAAAGAATTCCAACTTATGCACTAAAAAGACAAAATTCTTTAGGTAGATCAATGACCGAACCCTTCTCTTAAGAACATCCTTTTAAGGAGGAAGAGAGACGGGTTAGACAGACAAATAGTGTTACTTAACTTTTTTCACAAATTTAAGGATGGTGCACTTTTAATTGACTGTAGTAAGGACTTCCAAAGTCTTACTCCAAAAATAGAAAATGAATTATCATAAGATGTCGAGGAGTGCACAAGACGTTTAAGGGAAAGATTTTGCTCGGACCGTAAAAAATTATGACAGGAGCTTAGCAATTTAAAACTTTCTTTTAGATAGGGAGGACTTGATATATTAAAAAAGACGCAGTAGAGAGCAGAATGAATATGAGTATTCTAATGAAGACGAATTAGAAGCCACTTGAATTTAGTACGGTATTCCAAGACATAGTCATATTTACGAATCCCAAATATGAACTGTATACAGAGATTTTGGAGCCCCTCACGTTTTGTAAGTTGCTCCTCGATGATATCAAGGTAACAAATTTCAGCACAGTCGAAAAACGTAGTTAAGTCTATGGAGTAAATCATACGAGGCATGCCTTTTAAGTTTTGTCGTTTGAACAAAAAATACAACTAGAACCTTATAAATAGTACTTTTTATTTTTCCAAATATTCGCCATGTAGTTTAATACATTTTTCCGTTCGCTTGAACCAGCCATTAAAACAATTTATACTCCAAATAGTGTGTTCAATATGGCTGTATTGAAAGCGTCGATTGCTTCTTCATCGGACTGGAACTTATGACTACGAAAATTTTTCTTAATTTTAGGAAATTTGAAGAAATTGTAAGGGCTTAGGTCAGGACTGTTATGATATAAATTACTTTCAAAATGATTATAGGAAAATGAAATAATTCTCATTAATAGGGGAAGTCCATTTTATACGTGGTAGAGCCATACTGCAGTTATATTACTAGTATCGCTGTAGCACGAATGGGTCAGCTCGACTGAGGAAGGGCCACGATCTCACAGAATAGACCAGCGTAAAATAATAGCTTAATGGTGCTATGTTTCGTATGGTGAGTGTAGAGAACCGGAGACTCTTTTTACTGGAAACGAGGAATTTCATCTTAGTCCTCACGGGTGAGACAACGCATCTGCATTTTGATATGTAATCAAGGACAAATGTAGATGTCTATGGGCCGCAGCAACCACTTACCATCAGGTGGACTGCGTGCTCGTTTGTTACCCTATCCTATATAAAATAAGGCAAATGTTGCCAATAAATATTTGTTGTCTCGTTAAACTAATCTCGGACAGAAAGATAGCTCTTTCTTGGCAACAAACTTCAAATGAGCACAAATGGCTCTACTTATTTATGCCAAACGTTTAATAATATTACGAATTTTGTAACTTGTTTTTGCAATGATACAATTTTAGATTTTTATAGAAATTATGTTTAATTTCCTGCGAGTATATTTTACATATATGTGAATTGTGGTCATATATTACTTATAAAAACGTAATAACAATATTAACTCCATGTCTAAGTAAGTGTAAAAATTCAGTATGAGTTATATAATGTAAAAAATAATTGTTATTTATTTATAATATCGAGTCGATAAAAAGTTGTTGATTATCTGTCTAGAATTTAATAATCATAATGAATAATTATCATTTAAATTACTTTTTCTATTTAAATTTTGCGAAATATCTTTAAATATTTCGGTAAAATTTACGTAACATTTAGTCACTAAAATCTAGGCCGCCAAGAACATATTTCATATTTCACATTTACCTATAGCCAAAATGTAAGTTTTATATTTTTACCAAGAGAGCTGCTTAGCGAAGTCCAAGATTGAAAGATATCTCCACATGAATAAATATTTAATATTTTCTATGAGTGTAAATCGCGGTACTGTTAATTTTTATTATTTGGGACCGAGTTACGATTTCTAATGTCAATTAAATGTAAAGTTTGACCATAGATTATTATATAATTTGAGAAATTTGACATTTTGCAAAACAACACAGTATATGTTGATTTATTAATTTTATAAAATATACTTGAATAAGAGTCGCTGATCTCTGTTATACTAGTATCTCAGAGTAATTACTAGCATAGAGAGAGTACAAAAATAGGAACAAAAATTTTATAGCTGAAGTCTTTATACATTTGAAGTTTAAATTAGTTCAAAATAAGATAGCTATATTATTTTCACCTTCTTTCTTTTACAAAGTTGTTGCGGTTTTTTCATTCCATATACACCTCTAATGATGTGCAATTAGCGAAACAAAAAACGTTGTCGATAAATTCATTTAGTCTATGCCATAGTAAAATTAATAATTTTTATAAATCCGGTTCGTCATACTTATTGATATCAACAAAAGTTTATGAAAACTTCATCTGACATTATACAACAAAAACTAAGTCGATTAGTGTGGGATTTCGTACTATCGTTGTATAAATTAAAATATATCGTGAAAATGTTATGTGTTTTATGTAATCCACTTGAGTGTGTTGCATGTGCCAAATAAAATCTGGTTCTTTCTTTCAAAAGTTCACGATAAAATCTACTTAAATTCAGTCGGTATATTTCCGACAAATTATCCTAAGACTTAATATGGGTTTCACATGGAACAATAACTGTGCTTGTTTTATCGAAACTAGGTTTATGTCACGGATACGTAGATACAGGTAACTGCTACGATATTTTTTATAGAGTAAGGGTACTGAACAAGCACAACACAGTCCACCTGATGGTAAGTGGATGGTAAGTGGCTGCCATAGACATTACATTTATTCTCGATTACGAATCAAAATGCAGATGCGTTGTCACCCCTGAGGACAAAGATGGAATGCCTCGTTTCCAGTAAAAAGGTTCACCGGTTATTTACAGTCACCATACGAAACACAGCAGTATTAAGCTGCTATTTTACGCTAGTATTCTGTGAGAGCATGGTCGTACCCCGGTCGACCCGATCCATTCGTGCTACAACTATCATAGCTACAGTGTAGCTCTACCACGTTAATTAGTATACTCTATACTATTAAACGAGCAATTCTTGTATATATATATTATCGGGATCTCGGAAACGGCTCCAACGATTTTCATAAAATTTAGTGTCCAGGGAGTTTCGGGGATAATAAATCGATCTAGCTAGGACTTATTTTTAGAAAATGTCTTTTTGTCCGTGTTTTTAGGCAATGAAAAACTGCTACAATATCGTTAGGATAAGAAGGTAAATTTTGACAGATTGTTAATGATTATAAATAGCTTAATTGGTATAATGGGCGGTCACAGAATCGTAAAACCCCGGTTCGAGCCCAGACCGACCGACCGACTTTTTAAATTTTTTTTTCAAGTTCTTTTCTTTTTTCGAGCCCTTTTTTTAGTATTTCTTAAAAACACGAAAATTTACACCACTTAGCCACTGTACCTACAGTCTAAAAAGAAGTTTTTATAATTTTTTTATTGCACAGACTTTCAGCATAATTCTTTTTACAATAATTGTTTTATCGCTTTAAAAATTTTTATTTTCAAAATCACTCTCAACGTATTTTACGGCGATTTATCATACCCTGTAGCTACTCGAGCGCTGTTGTGGTGAGTTTTTGAACAGTTATTTACTGCTTACAGATGGACACATTTTCAACTATTCTCCTATGGGAGATTGTACTCCTTACCTCTATACTCCATGCCACAGTCTTTGCAAAGTTTTACATCTGGTGTCAAATTCCATACATTAAAATTTTAGTTCGCACATTTTCCGCGGAACTTATTTTGTGAATAAAGAGACCAATGATGACCACTTGACATTTCTTTTTCCGCGCATGAATGACACGCAACATCTTTCAATAGATTTGTCTCTTTTTGCGTTATTTGAAAATTTAATAGGAAAAAACGAGACCAGTATATTGACTCAAATTATGGAGAATTGTAGGTTCTCTGTATGCATCTCAGAGTAATTACATATGCATATATAGAGAGTACCTACAATTCAACATAAATTGAGTTACTATGCTTGTCCCCTTTTTCTTATTTATTTTTCGAATAGGGAAAAAACAGACAAATCTACGGAAAGATGTTGCGTATAATTTAAGCGTGGAAATAGAAATGAAAAGTGGTCATCTTTGGTCTCTTTATACTATGCAAAATATGAGAGTAAGTACACTCGTATGTTCTGATTTATTAGAAAAATGACATTCCTATTATAGTAGTATAATGTGTGACGTTACTTTACAAGACATTATGTCTTTAATTTATAGTGTTTTCGTTCGCAATGTTAGCTACAATCGATATAGTTATTTATTTTTATTACTTTATATGCCTAAAAATATTTAAAAAAAATAGTGCTAGATTTATAATTAATCGAACGATCAAGTAAATTGATTCATAAATTTAGTGATGATGATTATTGTATTACATTTAAAATATTCGTTTCGCAAACTTTAAAAAACCAATAATTAGGGAGGTATCAATACTAAGTCTTGACAGACACACGTTACATGAACAAGGAGGATCCCTTTTGTAGTCTCAATTTTATATTAATATACTAACGATCTGCCTCGGCTTTGCACGACAGTCTTCTGGATTTTTTATAGGATGGGGTGATAAACGAGCACACAGTCCACCTGATGGTAAGTGGTTGCTGCGGTCCATAGACATCTACATCTATCCTCGATTGCAAATCAAAATGCAGATGCGTTGTCACCCGTA